TCCATAATAATGTATATTTCCAAATAACTACGACAGTAAATTTCAAATGTCCTACCATAAAAAATGATAGGTAAGCAGGTGACAGGTATGTTAATTAGCTTGACTTAATCATACCACATTATATACATATATCAAAGCATCACATTGTATCCGATAAATATATACAATTATGATTTGTCAGTTGAAAGAAACCCACCACTTCAGCCCTGGAGCTGCACGTCTGCTGGCCTCAGGACCGACTGCCTGTGTCCCAGCTGCTCATCATACATGACATTTGAGCCAAGCATCCACTTCTGCTCCAGCCAGCTGCATCCAGGAAACATGGGTGTCTCAAAGTGAGGGCACCGTGCCTGGGAGCTGCCCATTTAAAGAGGTGGCACTGGGCTTGAGCAGACATGGCTAGGTACCCTGAAAGATTCTCCTTGGGGATTGTGGAATCACAAGGACCCCAGGTGTGGGAATGTGGCTTTATTCTAAGCTGTCCCAGATGGCAGGAGGGATGAGGGCAGAATCAATTGGGGAATGACTGACCTGGTTTGTCTGGATGGTCTGAGGGACAGGGATAGTGGTGGGTGTGATCCCTCAGAGTCTGAGGCAGCTGCATAAGATTGGCAGAGTCTCCAACAACCTCTACATAAACCGTAAGGCAACTTTTCTGTGCTACTTGCCTACTTGGCCCTCCTGTCTCCTGCCTGGCTCTGATCCACCTGGCATAGCTCTAAGTCATTTCCCTAAAACAGCACGTGCATGGCATGGGGGTTCTAAGTGGCCAACAGTGATGACTGCAGCTCTGCAGCTGCCACCACAAGTTATTGACTTCTTACCATGTACCAAATAGTGCAAAAGTCTGTGCTTGCCCCCCTTGGTCTCTCAGTTTCCTCATCTGCAAAACGGGGGCCACAAATGGCACATACTTTATAGAGCTATTATGAGGATTAAATGAATTAATGCCTGATAAGTCCCTTAAAATCATTCCCAGCATGAGTATTCAATAAGTGCTAACTCTTATTAAATGTTTTACTAAGCACTTGTATATGCCAAGTGCCATATACATTCTGGGGATGTAGTAGTGAGCAAAGTTTTCTCAAGTTGCTTGCAGTGAAGTGTCAGAGAGATGCAATTAAACATGCACTTACGATGCAGTGGTTTAAATGCCATGGAGGGGGGATTTGGGAGGGCAAGACCTTTGTTTATTTCTTTTTTTGTTTCTCTCTGTGATTAGAAAGTAAGTTCCATGAGAAGCAGGCATTCTGTCTCCTTTGTTCCCAGCGCTATCCTCAATGCCTGGGAAGAACCTGGTTCTTAGTGAACATTCGTCAGGTGAATAAATGAATGAATGAATGAAGTGCCATTTTGGCTGCAGCTGAAAAATGCACTGTGAATAGAGTTGGGAGTGAAGAGAGAAAAGATAGTTACTTGGTGTGGACGGGACAGGTGGCTGCCGGAGCCCTTCTGCATGCTGAGAGCACTGCAGGGTTCTCCTGGCCTGAGCAGAACACCCCTTGTCTCTCAAAACTTGGCCGTCTCTGCAGACAGCTGGGTGGCCTTAGTGAAGTTACTCTCAGCTTGGCTGTCTCTGCAGACAGCTGGGTGGCCTTGGTGAAGTTACTCTCTCATAAATGTCTGTTTCATGATTTATGGGAACAAATAACACCTTCGCATGGCTTATCGTGAGGCCTGGAGTGTATGTGTGAGACCTCCAGCATCCACTTGCCACTCTCAGTAGATGGAGTTTCTTTGCCCCTCCCATTCTTTGTGCCACTTGCTATCTACTATTGTTAAAGTGATATGTAGAGTTGGAGAAGGTTCTGGATCATATTTGGTAAGTTATGCTTGAATCCTTCTTGAGATCTCCCAAAGAAATATATATCCAAGAAGAAGAATGCAGAACTAACAGAGATGAATTATCATTAGTTGGGATTTTGCCCTATGTCTTAAAGTAGAGCTTATAAGGCCTTTGGGAACTTCTTTCTTCTATACTGGGTAGGTCTAAGGAAATTGGAATGCCAACTCAAATGTAAGTCTCCGATTCGATAAAGTCAACACACAGGGAACCCAAAAGAGGCCACAAGAACCAAGAGAAGAGAAACAATTTGCCCCAGGACTTGGAGAGGAGCTAGCCCAGGACACTCATACCAGCCATCTTAGCCATCTTAGGATAAGATCATGAGACTGGCACCCAGCAGCCTTCTTGGTGAAGGGAAGGATGTGAGAGATGAGAAAGATGGAGACCTCACTTTTAATCCCAGTGCAAGCTCCACCCACTGGGATGATTGGACCCCACCCATTGGACTCTCAAGGGGCACAAGGGGGAAGTGCTCAGTGACAGAGCAGGGGGCGTCTTTCTAGGAACCTGATGTGTTCGCTTAGTCTCTTTGCTCAGGGATGGAGACATGACTGGTTCAGCCGACAGTCGAGAGCCCTTAGTTTTGTGTTTTGTGATCTCTAAGCCCTACTGTTGTTACTAAGGTAGCACCTCAATCCTTGAACAGGACAGGTGGCTGCCGGGGCCCTTCTGCATGCTGAGAGCACTGCAAGGTTCTGCTGGCCTGAGCAGAACACCCCTCGTCTCTCAAAACTTGGCGGTCCGGAACTATACGAAGGCCAGTACTTTGCCCGCCTGACTGCAGAGGGTGGGAAAGTCATCTAAGAAGCTTCATAGCTTCTGAAGAAGATACAAGGCAGTCAAAGCCTGCAGTGACTGGAGATTTTGTAGGTCAGGCTTAATTGGTTTTGCTTTTCATGCAGTTAAATATACTTTTAAAAATATAGAGTAAAATTTATCCCAGTTGATGCATAGACCATTTCAGTCACCCCTCCCCAAAAGGTCCTGCATTCTACACCTTTATAGTTAATTCCCTTTCCTCCTCTAACCCCTTTTAGCCGCGGATCTGTTCTCTGTCCTCGTAGTTTTGCCTTTTCCAGAACGTCACGTAAATGGAATCTGACAGCATGCAGCTCTCTGTGTTTGCTGCCTTCCCCCCCGCACAGGGCTCTCCAGGCCCACGCGTGCTGTGGCGTGGATCAGAGGTTCATTACTTCTTACTGCCGAGAAGCATTCCATCGGGTGGATGTCTCACACTTCATCTGTTCACACGTTGAACAATATTTGGGCTGCCTCCAGTTTGGGGCTATTTTAAGTAAAGTGGCTATAAACCTTCAAGTACAGGTTTCATGGATGTGTTTTCATTTCATCCAGAAGAAGGATTTCCTGGGAGAGTTCCAGTTGTGTTCTCGCCTTCATAACCCTTGGTATCACCCAGTTTAATTCTCTGAAATTTTAGCAGTTCTAGTAGGTTTAAGATCATTTTTAAATTTTAAAAAGAACAGTTTTCTTAGGGGAAACACTCATTACTTTAATAGCATGTAAAATAATGTCTTCTTACTGTGCCTGTTTATCTGCTTACATTTTCATTCATTTTCTGTCTCTGTTACTAGAATATATGATTAAAGGAGGCACCTGCACCTGCATCAGCAAATACATGTGAATGGATGAAGGCATGAGGCAGAAGCGGGTAGCATATAGCAAAGGCTGGGTGCAGGGCTGGTGAACCTGTGGCCTGAAGGGCCCCATCCCTGCCTAGGATGTCAGGTCGGCCCTGGGTTAGAATCTACAGCCTATGGTATTAGCTTTGGCAGTGTACAAGGTAACAGAGAAAGCAACTTTGGGGCTGGGGTGGGAAATAGAAGAGCCGTGAGGCAAGAGTATATCTTAAAGACAAAATAGAACTTACAGTCCACAGGTCACAGGGCGTGGCGTGTCTGGGAGTATGAATGAGATCTGTGTTCTGGGCACCACGCTGGCAAAGTAGTAATGATAGTCATGCAAAAGCTTGTACTGCTTCCCATGTGCCAGGCAAGCCAAGATCTCTACACAGGTTAATTCACTCATTCTTCCCAACAGTCCTATAAGGTGAGCTCTCATCACCTGCAGTTTACAGATAAGGGAATGAAAGTGCCCCCAAAGATCAAATGACTTGCCCAAACCTGCCCAGCTAAGAAGAGCTTGGACAGTTTGTGTACCCAGGTCTGTGCCTTTAACCTGTACAGCCAGGTTTGGTAGGGCATTTGTCAGTCAGGGAACCCTGCATGCTGCTATAAGAAGTAGCCCCCAAATAGAGTAACAGATAAGACAGAAATTGGATTCCACCCCCCCCCCCCGTGTCAGCTCAAGGACAAAGTCCAGAGCTGATTGGGTTGCTTTTCCTTTCAATATACGGCACAGAGTTTGGGTCCCAGGTGGTCACTTCCAGTTCTCACTGTCTTCCAGCCTGGGGGACAGGGGAGAGGGGCCAGGGAGGCTCGTGCATGTTTCTTGTGAGGGGATGATCCTGGAGCAAATGATCCCATCAGTGGGCACTCAGCCCCGTAGCTGCACCAAGCTGCAAGGGAGGCTGGAAAGTGTGCTCTTTGTTTGGGTGGCCATACTCTCTCCTAAAACTCAAGGGTTCTGGTATTAAAGGGAAGAATGGACATTGGTAGAATGTTAAGACTCAGCCACAACTTGCCGACTATTCGCTGGGTTTTGAACTTTATTCTGTAGGTGATGAGGAACTGGCAAATGGCCTCTAAACAGGGATGTTTCATGCCTAGACTTGGCTGTTTGATGCTCCAGAAGCTTGCTTGGTAAATAAGGGGGTGGGAGAGAAAGAGAAGCAAGGAGGCTGGTTTCACTGATGTGGCTCTAGGCTCTGCTATCTCTGGAGTCCTTGCTGCAGGCAGGAGCCAGTAGGTTGGTTCTCAGGTGGGTCCAGATGGAGGATGTGCAGGTGGGAAGAATGTGTGCTGGGGCTGAAATGGGAACCATCAGCTGTCTTCATCATTCATTTCTTCAATGACTATTCTTCCAGCACTGTGTCTGGACATAGGACTCCAGTGAGGGTCCCAACAGGTGTGGTGAACTCATACTCAGCAGGTGTGAGTTTCTGATGACTTAGCACAGTGTGGCCCCTTAGCGTGCTGCACTGACACTGGCCTCTTGTTTTTTTTCTTGGTTTTAGGACCCCCGGAGCAAACATAAGTTTAAGATCCACACATACTCCAGCCCCACGTTTTGTGACCACTGTGGTTCACTGCTGTATGGACTCATCCACCAGGGGATGAAATGTGACAGTAAGTACTTTTTCTCTCTAGCGGCCTCTGCTGGTGGCAGGAAGGCTTCTTCTTCATGGTTTGGGGTCCAAGCCCGCAGCACCTTCTCCTGGGTGTGGGGATGGTGGTGTAGCAGTTATCTATTGCTATGTAACAATCCTCTCACTTCAAAATGTAGTGGGTTAAAACAGTGACCTTGTATTTAGCTCACAACTCTCTGCAAGGCAGTCCTTTGAGACTGGGCTTAGCTGATGTGGGACCCCAATGTGGGGACAATCCCTCAAAGATGGGTAGAGGGAATTTGGCTGGTGCTCAGGTCCCAGGGGGCTTCCTCTTCCTCTCCCCACAACTCATTTCCAGGTCTTGCCATCTGTGGGAGCATGTATTTATCATGTAACATGTGCGTGACATCCATGGGCCAGATCAGTTTAGGGATTTTCATTTCCCTTACCCTGGGTCTAAATGTTTTCCTTGTAATTAGTTGTGGTGAGCACTGCAGTCAGCTTAGATCCCTGCTGCTGTGAATTCACAGTAGTGCCCACTTCTGGGGAATTGGTCACTCACTGCCCCTCAGGGGGTGGTGATTCATGGCCAACCATTGGCTGCTTTGGGTGTACAGAGGCCTAGCCCTCTTGGCTCAGTGTGGGATGACCCTGAAGAGTCATCTTGGCTTCAGGGGCATCCATGTGACAGGCCAGCTCCTGCTCCCAGAGCACTCCCCAAAACCTTATGCAAAGCTCCCCATCTCAGCCTCTTTCTATTTAAAAGCTAGAAGATGTCACATACAAATTAAGATCCCTGCTTATCTTGAGGAACGGGAAACCTTGACCCCTCAGAGTGGACATTCCCACATAGCTGCATTCAAGTGGGGGCCACTGTGTTCCCCCTTTTGGCAAAGTCCCCCTACCCTGCCACTTCCCTCACCAGTGTGACCAGCCAGCCTGTGGGCATTGAAGCTGATGACTCTGGCTCTACAGCCTTTGGGGGTGCAGAGGGTGCCTGCTTTAGTTCGTACCCTTGGCCTTCTTGGCCTTCAGTGGGGTTCAATTCAGATAGGTTCAGTTTCAGAGTTGGACAAGCCCTTCTGGTGAGATCCAGCAGGGCAAGTTGGTCTTAGCTGCCTTGGAGATGGGGATGGGAGGGGTGGAGCAGACGTCTGTGGCCCAGGCCTCCACTGTCCTGAGCTGTGCTCTCTGTCCTACAGCCTGCATGATGAACGTCCACAAGCGCTGTGTGATGAACGTCCCCAGCCTCTGTGGCACAGACCACACGGAGCGCCGTGGCCGCATCTACATCCAGGCCCACATCGACAGGGAGGTCCTCATCGTCGTTGGTAGGTGGCCCCCGGGCTCCTGTCCTGAGGCCTGTGTGCTGAGGAGGGGAGGCCAGTGGACAGATGGGGGACTACAGGGGTCCCCCGTGACCACCAAGGCAGCAGCTTCTTAGACACTGAGCACCTTCAGAGCTACAGCAAGGGGGTGTCTCCGTCTTCTTCTCTCCCCGTCCCTTTCCCGCTCTTTCTCTCGGTGTCTATTGGGGTGTGCAGTTCCATTGCCTTTATTCAGGTAGCAGAAGAGGGAAGCTTGTTCTTCCCCAGACTTTTCTAGTGGTAAAAACAGAGTCTTGCTGATAAATAACCAAATCTGGGAGAACATTACAGCTTGAAGAGGAGGAGGATGGGGTGTGCCTTCCAGGGAGTGCCCCTAGGCTTTCTACGTATTTGAAATGTTTTTTAATCAGATGGTGGCTGCACTGGTTCCTATTATAGTATTCTCTATGCTTTTCGCATGTCTAAACTGTTTCATAATAATGAGAAAGAGGGCTATTACGGGCTGCTGGAGAGATGCAGTGAGGTGAAGGAAGAGAGGAGCGTGGTGTCTATCAGACACAGGAAACTCAGGCATAATAGGAATTCAGCAGCACGGGCCTGGGGAGTAATATTCAACCATAAGCCATGGTAAAACCATGCCCAAGTTGGCCAGGAATGGACCTAAAACTTTGAAAGAATTCTCTCTCAAAGGCTTCTGACAAACAGCTGTAGATTTTATATAACCAGTTACCATAAACAAAGTTTTATGAGTTGGTAATTTAGAAGTCTCATGGAAGAGATTGATTTTACCTGTATCAGTCTGTTTCTGAGACCTCAGAATGGTTGAGTATCTCTGATGCACTGAGCCCTGGGTCAGGAGGGTCTTCACCTAAACCATACAAACCAGAGGGTGTCCCAGCTTTTTTTTTTTTTTTTCTTCTCCTGCACATTGGAAGAATAAGAGTTGTCTTGGGACACGCATTAAATACACAAACACTCACAAAAGCAGATGAACAAAAGATCTGTGTGTACTTTTCGTGATACTGGACACAGATAAGTGAAACAGTCTTCACATAATCAGCATGTGGCTTTCCAGCCACAGGTAAACATGGAAAGATATTTATCCCTGAAAATGTAATTCTTCTTTTAAACTGAGGTTTGTGACCCCAGCAAGCATTTAGAAAAATATGCATTCCATTGCATTATGTTTCCTCAGAGCAACTGCTTCTCAGTGGGACACTTGGGGTACCCCTCAGAGAATTCTATAGTCACAGGTTCCAGAGAAACTTTTCTTCCCCGGGGCAGGCGAAGCTTCCAGGCAGTTGAGAGGCAAAAACGACACTCTGCTGCCATCTAGCGTCACTTTCTAGGAACTACACCAGCTCGAAAAATGCCACTATGGGCAGTGGGCATTTAAGGACCCCATGGGATGCCCTGGGTCCAAATCTTACCTGTTTTCTCTTTCAGTCCTCACAACCGCATCACAAAATACCATTATCCTTGCATAATAATGAAACAATAGCTAACATTTATTGAGGCTTTTTAATGTGTCAATCACCCTGCAAAGCACTTTCAGGCGGTGTCTTATTTAAATTTTTTCAGCTTCTCGTATGAGGTGAGTCATTATCATTCTATCGACTAGGAAATACACCTCCTCACCTAGGCCTGTTTGACTCGTATGTACTATGGGCGAGGCTACTTTTTAGTTTAGTTTAGTTTTCTCTCCCCATCTTCTTTATCCCCTGGGTACCTCTTTTGGGCCTTCCTTGAGGAATCTTTGTTCTGATGTGGTACCATACAAAGTCCCTTCAAGTCCAAGGTCAAAGCTTCCCTCTTAATCATAGATATTCTCTGGCCTTTAAGAGTCTTTTTTTTGGCCAGGGCCAGGTTTGAACGCACCACCTCCGGTATATGGGGCCAGCGCCCTACTCCTTGGGGCACAGGTGCCGCCCACTTTAAGAGTCTTGATCACAAGCTAGTCACCCCTAGGACACAGCTATGAATAGGAGGTACATTCATTTGCTAGGACTACTATACAAAAGCACCACAAACTGAGTGGCCTAAAACAGCACACATTTATTTTCTTAGTGTCCTGGAGGCTAGCAGTCTGAAATCACAGTCACTTCCTTCCAGAGGGCTCTGAGAGAGTCTGTCCCCGGCTTCTCTCCTGCTTTCTGGAGGTTGCTGGTGATCACTGGCTTTATGTGGCTTGGAGATGCACCCATCATTCCAGGCGTTCCTCACTATGTGTCTCCGTGTCCAAATTTCCTCTTCTTATTAGGACACCAGTCACTGGATTAGACCCCCTGTGTATGACCTCATCTTAACTTGATTACATCTGCAAAAACTGTCCCCAAATAAGGTCACATTCACAGGTGTGGGGGTAGGACTTGAACATATCATTCTGGGGGACACAATTCAACCTGTAGCAGAAAGTGGGTAATGGAGGAAAATTGAGACTCCCTTAAAGTTAGGGGCAGAATATCTGCACACTTTGGGCTCTGATAGCATTAATTAAATAGCTACCAGCATTTTAATCGTGCTTTGTGCTTTTCCAAGTGCTCTGATGTTGAGTCATTCCATGGAGGTGGTAGTGTTGGCATCATAGAGACGGGGACAGTGAGACTCAGCTGAGCACGCTGACCAAAGCCACCTACAGAGCAGCAGTAAGCACTTGAGCTCCAACTCCATGTCAGGGTGCCCTGACGCTGCCCCACCACCATGCTGGGCACAGTCTGCACTCAGATGGGCTGTTGATTGATTAACGATAGAAGAGCCTGATGCTCTGGCTGCCTTCTCAAAAAGTAGGGCCAGGAGAGAGATTTTTGCTCGAGTGATTTATTAGGCTGCTCACAGGGAAAAGAGGAGAGAAGGGAGCAGGATAGGGTAGGGGAATAGCTGTGTGTGGTCTCCACAGAAGAGCTCTTCAGCATGGCCCCTGAAGGACCCCTGGGCCTTGTATTGCAGCAGAGTCAGTTTCAGCTTGAAACAAGGGGGCTGCGCTGTCACACTCTAGGTCCGTCAGTGCTACAGGTTGACTTACGTCTCCCCAAAATGTATATATTGAAGCCCTAACTCCTAATGTGGTATTTGGAAACAGGGACTTTGGGAAGTAATTAGGGTTAGGGAAGGTCCTGAGGTTGGGGCCTTACCATGAGATTAACGTTGTATAAGAGGAGGAAGAGAGAGATCCCTCTCTGTCTACCGTGTGAGGGCACAGCAAGAAGGCAGACACCTGCAAGCCAGGAAGCAGGTCCTTACTGGGAACTGAGGCTTCCAGCATTTTGATCTTGGACTTCCCAGCCTCTAGAACTATGAAAAAGTAATGTCTGTTGTTTGTAACACCAGTTACCTGAGATGACTGATGATGCTGCTGGCAATGGAGGTGGAAAGGTAGAGTGACCTCCCAGGCATGGAGGCTTTTGTGCAGCTGAGGGCAATTATCTGGACACAGGGCAACTGTGAGCCTCACACAGACAACACTCACAGCAGCACGGAGCAGGTACAATGGCCAGCATGGAGGAGCTAGCCAGGGTCCAACAGCATCCAGGATGCCTGGGTCTCCCTTGGTCCCCCCAGCATCTTCTGGTTTCATTGTTGGGACTCCAGGCCCCCGTCCTTAGTCTTGACCAGACAGATCAGACAGAGGAGAACACTGAAGGTTTCCTGGGGCTCTTCCCAGTTGTCCCAAACCAGAAGTGGCCTTGTAGTGTTTGTTGAATCGCCCCACCTCAACCAGAGCCAAGAAGCACGTGTGGTGTCAGGGCTGCCCTGTCACTACCAGCCCAGGACACTGCCATTTGCCTTGAATACCACATGCTCTTTGGAAATCTCAGCATCTCCAGAGGTGGAGGGTTTTCTATGTCCTTTGGCTACTGAAATCTAGGTTGTATATCTGCTGTTCGGGTCCTGGCAGGCCAAGTTCAGAATAAATCGAATCAGTTCTCCTTCCTTTAAAAACTTGCCAATGCTTTCTCACTGTCTTTAGAACAGACTCACCCTGGCTAGGTAGTCTCTTGTTTCTTCTCTCTCTCTTCCCCTTTCTCTAACCCCTTCCCTCTCCTGACAGCCACGTGCTACAGGGCATCTGTGTTACTGTTCCTTCTGTTTGGAATGTTTGCCTTTCCTTCTTCTAGCCCTCAACTCTTGCCCTTGATCTCAGCTCATTTTCACCGTCAGGGGAGCTCCTACTGACCTCCCCCTGTCGTCAGCACTCGTGGGCCCCTGACCCTGCATTTGTGTCAGTTGTGGCTTTATGATGGGTTTGATCAGCATCTGCATCTTTCCCCCCAAGGCATGAGCTCCATGAGGGCAGGACCAAGTCTGCTTTGGTTCCCCACTCTGTCCCCAGCATCTAGTGGGGCAGGTGTCACTAAGTATTTGTAGGATGTGTATATGAATGAGAAAGCCCTGGAGGATCCTAATAGGTAAAAGGCCTTCACAGATGGCCCCCAGATTAGTGTCCTCTGAAGTCAGATTGGCAAATACTCTACTTTACAGTATTCTTCTTACAGGAAGCAGCACATGCAGAAAATCTTCAGTACCAAGTCCAAGGGCAATAGCTTTCCTGGGGCAGGGACCTACCCTTTGGAGGTATGAAGACTTGTGTTCCCTGAGCAATATAGAAATGCTATAGAGCAGTGGGGCTTGTAGAATTTTCTACACAGAAACTGTGTCGACATCTTGATGCCATCAGAATCCTGAGAGCAGATGGCGCAGCGTCTAGATCAGAGCTGTAACGTGCCCCCAAAGTCTATGAAGCCCGTGTCTCTGCACATGTAACAATATCTTACCTAATCCCTGTTTAGTTCCAAAGCATAACTTATCAATGTAAATAATAATATCCCATTATTTACATTCCTAACTACCTTACAGTTATTTCCAAATGCTTAGCCATGTCCATCTGTGGGCCCGTGATTATATCTCCCAAAAGTTCAGGCTGCTCTTTAAAAAAAGCAGAATGAGCATTTTTTTTTTTTTTTGTAATGTTTCCCTTTGGGATTCACACTCTGTGCTCTTACCAT